CACTCGCACTGCAATCAAATTGAATTGTGTCACTCAAGTGAATGTTTTTCTCCTCCAACTCCTATTCTATCCATTCTTTTGAACACTACTCGTGAGTTAATGTCTCTCAAGATATACACTACACAGCCGTCCGCGTATACACTGTATGTGTGTATGTGTTGTCGTCGAACTGGCCTTACAGTGCAGTTATGTACAGAATATACTATAGAATCACAATCTCAAGGGTTGTGTTATTGAATGAGACAGACATCATGTTTGCTGTCTTTATTTTCACAATATCTACAATATCCTTATTCTGACTCCAAATACACATAACATAACAATTGACATCATTTCCCCTAATTTGTTCACAAATTAGTTATTATTTTTAATAAATATATAATTAATAAAATTCATTATAAGAGTAATTCCATATAAATTGTTTATTATATTCTGAACTTTGAATTTTGGGTAATTGTCTACATATATATAAAATGGGAATTAAAATATAAATTATTATTAATTTCCCGAGAGATTGACGTCTATTTTCGTATACAAGTGTTTGTCTATATTTTTGACTCAATTTATTTATTATGTAATCTTCACATACATTGTATTATAGAAACACTGAAAAAATGAATTAAATATAATATTATTTATACAAAAATGATTGACTCACACAATAATGTATTCTATATTTTGTATGCATTTATAACGTACAGAATATTCTACAGTAGAGATGCAATAGTACTCTACTAATCCTCTCTCACTTATTTATTTAATCCTCAGTTTATTAGCAAATAGTAGAGAAATAGAGATTAGAGAAGTAGTGCTCTTAATATGTGTGAATAAATGAGGAGATTTTTATTCATTTACTTCTCTATTCAATAACCGATTCTAAAAGCAAACAATTGCTTCAAAAGGTTGGACTACATTAGTATTATTCATGCAATTATAGTAAACTCTCCCAACGGTTCGGTTCATCACATTTCGTACATTATATGCACTGATGTTAAGCCTTTTTGGGCAAACAGTTGCTGTCTTCGCCAATATTGCCAATACTTCCCACACTTTTGTCTTTATTATTAGATTTATTGTCAGAGTTTTGAGAGCCAACAGTTGACGATGAGATGTGATGCTGAGCCGCCGACTGACGCAACAACTCCAACATTGACTGCTGGGAACCAGAGTAGTGAACGTGGTTGGAGTGGTTGGGATGGTTGGGGTGGTTGGCGTGGTTGGAGGCCATATGGGGTACACCGCCGGACATACCGCTCAGCTTCAGTGCGTGTAAACTCGTGGGACTCACTCTACCGGCGACCGAATGGTTACCATTTGGACTGTTTGGCCACAAGTGAAGCATATAAGCGGAGAATAGGGCAGAACTCCACGGATTGGCCATTTGTTTGGGTAATGAAGACGATTGAGACAAACCAATTGAATTTGGATGAAGTGATGGCAGCGGCGATGAGGACAACGGGCCGTGACTTAAGTTCCAGAAATTATCGGTCACTCCATTCACTGATCCCATTGAATGCATTGCCGGCGAAGGTATCGGAGACTGTAATAGTACTGAAGGATTCAAATACAAAAACTCATTGTTTCGGTTCACGTTTTGCTCCAGATTTGTGCTTAAATTTAAGGTCGAGTTAGCGTTCGAGCCGTTCATATAGATTGGCGGACTCTCTCTTCCCATTGCTTTCTCTCTTTTACGCCATTTCGCTCTGAATTCAAGAATATTTCATTAATTATCACATGTTTTTATAATAAAATCATTTAAATACCTTCTATTTTGAAACCAAACCTATTTGTAAAAGAATGTCAAACAAACAATTATTAATTTACTCTATTTATGGCATA